TACCTATGGACATCCTTGAACATCGTAGGCCAATAGAATCCCGCTTGTAGAATCTTCGTTGCGGTCTTCGAAGCGGCAAAATGACCTGCGTAATCAGAGGAGTGGCAATGGAAAAGTACCTGTTGCACTTCTTCCTCGGGAATGCATCGTCGGAACATCCCATCGGTACCACGCTTGAACAAGAACGGGTCGTCCCAAAAATAATCCCGTACGTCATGGAGGAACTTCTTCCTTCCGTTATAATTAAGTTCGGACGGGATTACTCGAGAGACCAGAAAGTTCACGTAGTCCGCGTACCATGGGTCTTCGTGTCGGGTAGTGACTGCCATAATCTGTTCCTCTCGCAAAGAATCATCGATCGGGAGAGGGTCAGGTATCGCAAGGCATGAAAGGTGGTCTGCAACTGTGTTCTCCGTGCCTTTGCGATCCCTAATCTCGACGTCAAACTCTTGTATGAGTAACATCCATCGAATTAGTCGAGGTTTGGCGTCTTTCTTTGTCAGCAAGTATTTCAAAGCCGCGTGGTCTGAGTATACGATCACTTTCCGTCCCACCAAGTATGACCTGAACTTTTCAAAAGCAAATACCACAGCAAGTAACTCTTTCTCAGTAGTAGTGTAATTTACCTGCGCGTCATCAAGAGTTCGGCTGGCGTAGTAGATGGCGTGGTGTTTGTGACTGCCCCAGCACTGCTCCAACCGTGTAATCGCTAGCGTCGTACATCAGCTCAAACGGTAGAGTCCAATCAGGGGGCTGTATAATCGGTGGTGAGATCAGAGCTGCCTTCAAAGTCTGGAAGGCCTTCGAGCATTCTGCAGTGAACCTGAAAGGTACATCCTTCGCCAATAGCTCGGTAAGCGGTCTTGTGCCACTGCTCATCGATAAGGTTCCTTTCTTGGAATCTTGCATCTTGAACCGTTTCAAGACCTTATCGATGTAGGTGCTCTGACACAATCCTAGAAGACGCCTCGATCTATCTCTATAAATCTTGATGCCTAAAATATAGGCCGCTTCTCCTAGGTCCTTCATAGAAAACTGCGTTCCTAGCCAAGACTTAACGTCTTCCAAGGTAGGAACGTCATTCCCTATAAGGAGAATGTCATCCACGTACAGCACTAGAAAAACTACTGTGCTCCCACTGAACTTCTTGTAAACACATTTCTCGTCTTCGTTCTGCTTGATACCGCCACGGTCTCTGCTCACGACCTTAAACGAGCACATTCGGGTTCTCCCGAATTCGTATCCTTTTTTCTTTTTATATACATTATTCCTCTACATTTCTTCTCCTCTATTTTTGGTTTCCTTGCGCTATCACTCTCGCTGCAGGTCGATTATCGCTACATCCTCTGCGCGCACACCGTGAAAATTTGATCAGACGACCAAAATGATCGTTTCTTACTTATAAAACGATCGTTTCATATCAACATGTGATCGACACGTGCACGTCGCCAAAACGATCGTTTCGTATAACCCGAAACGATCGTTTCACTGGTAAGTCCGAGTGGCCCGACTTTTAACCCTAAACTTCCCTTCTCTCACCCACTTTACCACACTTGCCGCCGGAAACCGCCCTGCCACCCTCACCGCCGCCTCCCCCTGATCTCGTCGCCATTTCTCCCCATTTTGCGTCGGGCCACCGAGTTTCTCTCTTCTTTCATCTCTCTCACGCGATCCCGGTAAGTTTCGTGCCTATACGCCGATTTACTTGTTCCATACCTCCATTTTCGCCTTTCGGTGCTTCGACTTGTTGATTCTGCGAGTTCAGCAGATTTTTCTCGCGAAACGATCGTTTTGAGCATGAGAAACGATCGGTTTGGGAACGAGTTTTGGTTTTTTTTGCTCAGACACACGATCGAATCTTCCTTCTTCTTCCCGAAATCCCGTAAACTCCTATTCTTCTCTCACCAAAAGCTCTCCAAAAGTCTGTATCTAAGTGTTCTCTAAGGCTCTCTGGTGTTCTAGGACGTGGCTAGGCCTTTTTTATAATCCTAGGGCGGCTCCCAAGAGTCCTCTTCCCTTTAGGACTCTAAAAATCGCGAATTAGAGTTTTTCTCCGTCGGGTCGGTTCCATATGTAACCGGACCGGTTCAGAGACTGGATCCGGTCCGATTCCAGGTGGAATCGGTCCGGATCGACCTTCTGTAAAAGTCCATCTTCGGAGGCAGTTTGGATCCGGTCCGATTCCAGGTGGATTCGGTCCGGATCAAGCTTCTGTAAAACTCCAATTTCGTCCGATCCTTCGTTCAATGCTCGCGTAAGCTCTCGGATATCCTCCCAATTGCTGTATATGCT